TCCCCTCAAACATGTCCAAATTTCATGTCTTCTATTTCTAGGCATATTATTTGAATATTGAGTTACATATCACTTCAGAAAATAGATTTTATTAGTTGACCTAAATTTGTGAAATTTCATCAATAACTCATTATTATTGAGACAAGAGAACACATATAATAAGATCACAACACTTCTTGAAGTCTCTCTCCCGAAATTGTTGTTGTAAAGCCATATTTGAGGCATGAAGTGTAGTGAATGTTTTTTTTTTTTTTTTTTTTTTCTATTTATGTATCTTTATCAATGATATTTTCTCCACAAAGTCTTAATTGGAACACCATGGAGTTTAAATCAACAAAAATTTTGAAATATTGTAGACGTAGTTATTTGCATGCATGTTTTGGCTTCGAAATGATGACCATCTTTAGGTGGTCAAACCGTTTTAGACTATAGATCTTGCTCACTGCTATTAGTTTTGGAGAAATTTTAGTTACATCCCATAGTAAAATGGTCAATTAGTAAATGAGTTTCTCGCACGAGTTCAGTCTATTAAATATTGCCTACGGCATGTGTGATTAGTTAGGAGCATCTTGAACTCATTCAAATATTAATGGCTCTTCGCCCTGAGTTTGAGCCTATTCATGCATTCTACTACATCGTCACTCTTTACCTACCCTTGATGATGCTATTCAAGAAATTTTCTTTGAGGAGACTCAACTTTAGTAAGACTCCGATTTCTGATTATGCATTGGTTGTGTCATATCATACTCATGATTTTTTTTCGTCTCGTCAATCTCAACTGCTTGTTATTGGAAATTTTCAGATTTAAAAGAGCCCTGACCACACTTTTTCTAGATATTCTAAGATTTAGTATCATATTTTTCACTTGGAACCATATTTATCCAAAATTTTCTATCATATTTTAACATTCAAGTAGTTCCACTTTCAAACACTCAAAATGGTTCTACTTTCATACATTTGAAAACTCATGTGTCTTGTTCAACTGCTACTTCCCCAGTCATAGATACTACTAGCGATGAGCATCACCACTTTTTTTACATCTTTCAGGACTTAGAAGCCACCTCATTTGACAGAAGTGGGGGAGTGTGTCACTAGAAGCAAACAGTGATATGAACAGAAAATAAATGTAATACAATAAGGAATCGTTTATTATATAGTAATTAAAGGCATATACAGCTAATTTCAAATTTTATCCTACTATATAATTACAATATTTCTTGTTTGCAAGAACACATGAAGTGGAACGACATGCACAATGGAGCCATGCGCCCAAGTTACAACAAAAAGGTAAATAAAACATACAATAAATGATTATATGAAATATTTTATAGCCACAACAAGAAGGCGAGCATGGTCATCCTTGCCCCTAATCTCGAGACATGGAGAGAGGCATGAACTTCTAAGAATGTCATCAAGAAGTCGGAGACAGTGAAATTCAATAGACACGGTAGAAATTCGAATGTCAAAGTTGTGGCCACTCATACTAGAAGGTATCGCTCGTTCCTTGATACTTCACTAAAGAGTAAGTTTGTACTTACATAATTGTTAGAAAGTATTAAACAATCTCCTTTAAATACTTATGCAAATTATGATTGTTGATCTCATGAAATAAAGCACTTATGAATGGGTGCATAACTGCAGTACGAAGACAACTCAAGTGAAAGTAAGCCAATTAATTTATATTGTATTATAATTTTTCTTTAATACAAACAATACATATAATGTTCATTAATTATGAATTTTAGGAAGGCATGAGCATCATTGAGAAAGAGATGACTCAATTTGGCGATACAAAGTGTAGCCGTAATAAAATATTATTTTTCTTGGTGCACCAAGACAATAAGAAAATAATATTTTAGCTTGGATCGATGGCATCGACGGTTCCTCCTGCTCAGACATCGTATAGCTGTGATAATTGTACGCTAGATGATCTAATTTCAACCGTCGTTTTGAAGACATTGAGGCACGACGGTAGCGCATGGAGGGTTTAGCTATGACCATCATGGACCAGCTCGACAACATCAAGGCCCGGATAGATAGATTAGACCCCAATAATGGTTTTGGTGCTCCAGTTGTTTATTGATGTACTTATTTTGGATTTGTAATATTCATATTTTGATGTTTGTTAGGGGAATAGGCATAATAGAAGTCGAACCCCCGACCGAAAGATTAAGGAGTTGAGGGTTTTGCCACTAGACTATACTCTCATTCTTTATATACTATATTGGTTAAGAGAGGTTTGGATAAACCAAAAAAAAAAAAAAAGTCAAATTTTTGGGGTAAACTGTTTTTTAAGTCACATAGTTGGATCCCTTTATCATTTTAGTCTTGTAACTGGAGGTTGTCTTAACTAGTCCCTTAAATGGAAAATTTTCTCAATTTAGCCATCAATGCCTATGTGGCATCTGCTGGCAGGCTGGCAAATACATGTCGGCTAGATCAGCGCCATGTGGCTGACACGTGTTTGCCACGTGGATAATTTTTATTTTTTTTAATTTTATTTTTTTATAAATTAAAAATAAAAATTAAATTAAATCTATAAAATGTATAAAAATTAAAAAATAAATATTATTCATATGTCCGTCAGATCATCGCCGCCACGTGGCCGATAAGTGGATAATTTATATTTTTTATATAAAAAATAAAAAATATAATTAAAAAATATATTAATATATAAATTATTAAAAGTCATATAGTGCTGACTTGACAGATATATAAATAATTTTATTTTTTTATTTTATTTATTTTTAATTTTATATTTTATATTTTTATTTTTATTTTTATAATTGTAATTTTTTTATATTTAAAAATAATAAATATGTCAGTCACGTGGCGCTAATTTGGCCGATATGTATCAGTCAGTCTGCCACGCAGATGCCACATAGACATCAAAGACTAAATTGAAGACAGTCTCTACTTACATGACTACAATGATAAAATGTCCAGTTATGGGACTAAAAAATCAGTATACCGAAGTGAGCATTTACGACTGAATAATTTCATCACAAGGTCTACTTTGATGACCAAAATAGTCAAATCAGTTTTGCGAGGAAATTATCCCTCACAAATCTTGTTGCAAAAACCGTCGGTAAAGCTTGAACGGATTTCATATATATATCGCAACTTCCATCGCTAATGAGACTGGCAACGAAAAAAACACGATTTTGCGATGAAAATTTTTTGTCACAAAATCGAGCTCTCTTTTTGTAGTGTAAAAAAGTATGAAATCTCAAATGAACTTACATTGTTTGCTATTTCGGGAGTTTCTGGAGAAGACAAACCAAGTCCAGGTGTACGGAAGAAGTAGAGAGTTATTAGAGCTTAAAGCAGAAAAAAAATAATAATAAAAAATAAAAAATGCCTAGCATGGAAAACAATAAAGTTTGACTTAATTAATTGTCATAAATATATTACAAGGTTGCATGTGTCTAATAAAAGTCGTAGGAATTTTTTTTTTTCTATTTTAAATATCGGTGCCTTTAATTAAACATGCATGGCCGTGTTAATTTGTTGACATATTGACTAAGTTGTACTATATCTGTTACCTAAATATGTGCTTAAACTTTTAGATATGAACTTTAATACGGGGACGTACTTTTGATTACTTTATAACTTTTTATTTAAAAAGAAAACAAAAATATTATTAGGTAAAAGATTAAAAAAAAAAAAAAGTGAAAATAAATTTTAGTGATATAGAAAATTTAAGTGACCATGTAGGGAGAGTGACAAATATGTAAGCAACACCGGTTTATATGAGATTATTGGAGCCTCCTATTTGCGAATATATGATTAATGGTTGTGTTTCCCTAATAATTTGAGCTTTTAGGTGAGACGGTCATTTACCATTCGATATAGTATCAGAGCCTTGGTTAAGTCTCGAGTTCGAGGATATGCATGTGTCAACACATACTAATACTTAGAGTTGGCAAAAACTGACCCGACACGAAATAATTGGGTTTGAGTCAAATATTAATATTGATTAATATATTTATTATATATGTAAAATAACCATAATTTAATAATTTTCTCATAAATTAATTTAAACTAAGTTCAATTTTAAATAATTCAACCTAATTTAAGCTCAAACCAATACAAACTAACATAACACGACAATATAACAAAAAATTATTTAATTTGAATCAAGAAATTCGACTTAATTATGTATATGGGTCAACAAGAGTCAACCCGAACCCGACACAATAATAAACGGGTCAACACGAACCCGACACGATAATAAAATACGGATCGGGTTAAGGTTGAGTAATTTAAACCGTTTAAAGTATTCAACCCGACACGAATCGACCAATTATCGGTTCTACTAATACTATATATATATATTGCTTATTTTAGTTTTATTTGTTTTATAATTTTTATGTGCTATTAGCACGAAAGAAGCTATATTTGTTTCAAAAAAACACAAAAAATTAAGATGACAATTTGACCTATATATAAATAAGTAAATAAGCAAAAGGTCATTCATGTCCAGAATTCGACGACAAAACAAGCAGCAGCTGGTACACATGCAGCCCTTATTAATTAACTAGTTCCCAATAAGAGTCCTGCACCGATTACCACAAGCCTAGGTTTCCCAAAACTCTTTTATTTTATTTTTTTAATTATTATTATTATTATTATTATTATTATTATTATTATTATTATTATTATTATCATTTGGTGATGATGATGATAAATTAATTAAATTAGAGGGAATGAATGGAATTAAAGAGGGAGGAGCCACAGCAAGCAGGAGAGCATTAAGAATGGCTGTGCTACGTGTCGGAAATCTGGTTATCGTCTCTCCTCCGATCCATATCGGCTACCTTTCTTGTAACCAACTGCTATCAAAATTCTTGTTTTGCACATCACCGCCATTACTTTCTTTTTTCTCTTTCTCTCTCTCTCGTCACTCAGCCTGACACTGCCAAAACAAAACCCCCCATTTTTCTCTTCAATTCCTCCCCCCTTATCCCCAACCTACTTTTCTACTTACTTCCTCTATTAAAGCCTGTAACTCCTCGTCTCCACAATCCCTCTCCCCTCTCCTTCTCCACATACATATACAATTAATTATTATATATGTATATGTATGTATATGTAAGTCTTGATTCATAAGATTTTGTATATCTGCTAGGGTTTTCTCAAATTTGGCTGCGATCGATCATGGGGAGGGTGAAGCTGCAGATCAAGAAGATTGAGAACACAACGAACAGGCAGGTGACATTCTCGAAGAGGAGAAATGGTCTGATCAAGAAAGCTTATGAGCTTTCTGTGCTCTGCGATGTTGATGTTGCACTCATCATGTTTTCCCCTTCTGGACGAGTCAGTATTTTCTCTGGAAATCGAAGGTCTGAATTTTACTTATTTATTTATTCTTGTTTTTGTATATACATCCATCACACTGTTTGTTTGTGTGTATGTATGTATGTATTCTCTTACAACTGTGGCTGTTTTCCATGGATTCTTTCTTTTTGTTTGTTTTTTTGCTTAATCTGTCTGTTTGTTTGCTGTTGATTCTTTTCAAGCATCGAAGACATCATGGTGAGATTCGTGAATCTTCCCGAGCACGAAAGAGGGAGGTAATCTAATGAATTTTTTCTTTTTCCTTTTTTTTTTCTAATAAATCATGTAATTAATTTTTAGGGTATTATTTGGCATTGATTAGACTATGCTTATATGGATCATTTTATGTTTGTTTTTTTCAACCATCTGCTGCTGCTGCTACAAAAGGTTACAGAATCAAGAGGTAACATTTTCTCCAAAATATATATATATATATATATATTTAACTAAAAGAATAATATATCTTTCACATAGGGCTACACAAGAAATTTTAATTACTTATTATTTGCAGCATTTACAAAGGGCCCTTGGAAAGTTGAAATCTGATGCTGACAGAAGTTATCCAGTACCCAACAGGTATATATATATATATAATTATATATATGTGTGTAAAACTTCAACAATTTTTTTTTTTTTTTTTTTTTAATCTTTTGGGAAGATCAAAATTGTCTAATATCCTTTTCTTGTTAACTTGATATATATATATATATATATATATATGCAGCAGCCCAGCTAATATGAATGATTCTCAACTGGAGGTTTGGCTCTGCAAGTCTATCTTTGTCACAATTATTGGTAGTATAATTAATTTAATTTAAGATTTGGGATGAACCAAGTTTATGAACTCGCAGGAAATTCAGAAACAATTGATGAAATGCAAGTGCCAACTCGAAGACATGGAGAAAAAACTGAGGTGTGTAATTTAGGATTGGAAATTTTATTCTGAAGAAATATATATATAAATGTTAATCATTGGAAATTATTCATTGATTATGTTGTCTAAATAAAAAGATGTATATACACATATATATGTGTGTGTATTTCGTGTAGGATATATGAAGGCGATCCTTCGGAAGTCAACGTGTTGTGTGAGGCCGAGTATAGAGAACAAGTTCTCGAAGAGAACTTGCGACAAATTAGAATGCGCAAGGCAAGTTTTCTAGAATCGAAGTGTCTTTATTTGTGTGCGCCATATTTGTTTCGAGTAATATACTAATAGAGACTTTTTTTTTTTTCTTGCATTTTTAATCGACAGCATATTCTACAAGATCAGTATAACAATCCCTGCCCACAAACCTCACAGGTTCTTTAGATTCAAACAAAGAACTATTTATTTTTAAATTGGTTATACTTTGGTATCGATGAGTTCAATAACTTACTTTCAAGATTCGCGATCACAAATGATCAACTTTTTTTTTTTAAAACATGATTGCAAGTTTTCCATTCACAAACTTTTTCTTTTTTTGGTATACATTTTAGATGATGAACTTGCCTATAGAGACCGGCGACATAAATGTTATGGGCGTGAGAAATCAAGATAATGTGTTAGATTGGCTTCCGCCGAGGGATCCACAAGTTCAAATCCTCAACTTCTTGGATTCGAACGGGCTTCTTCCGCCGAGGTACGATTTAATTTTTTTTACTATTGCAAATAGAATTTGCATCAAGCCATACTACAAGGAAACATGACTATATCAACATAAAAACAAATAATGCTATCATAAATTAAATAGATTAAGATAATCATGTCTATGTTAGAATAATTCATAAAATAACTTAGGTAAATTTTGTCTCATAATTCACCTTATATTAGCCAAAACTATTCATAAAATCTCTACATTTGTGCACATAATAGAGCTTTTATACATATTTTTCACACGAAGATGACTTATGTAACCAAATTTATTTTGTATACATTACACATTTACATTAAATATATATATACATACATATATGAGATTTACGCTACGGTTTTGTTCACTCAATTTTTTTTAGGTAACACCATTTTTTATAAATATTATAAAAAATGCAATATATATATATATTAATATAATATATACTTCTTCCGTCATTTAAATTCATTTTTATTTTTATTTTTTAGTTATCTAAATTTATTCTTTGTTTCTCTTCTTAGTAAAAGAAATATTCCCTCCGTCATGCAAATGTGTGTTCATTTAACCGGACATGAGTTTTAATAGAAGTGAGTAATAATTGTTAATTTTTCCTTTTATAGTAAAAAATAGTACAAAAGTGGAATGATTTTTTACTTAAAAAGGAAATGAGAATATTTTTCGATGATAACCCAAAAAGGAAAGTAAGCATAGATTTGAATGACGGAGAGAGTATCATTTTTTCTATTTTTTCTTTATCATAATTTTTTTTTCCTATTTTTACCTATTTATTTAAATTTCCGTCACCAGTCAAATGAGTAAATTTTTTATGACAAAGGGAGTAATACAGATGTATATATATATACTATTAAGAGTGTTTGGTTAGTCGTTTGGATTTTGAATAGTAAAAAAATTAAATTTGAAGTATAATGTAATATAAATAGGTGTTATGAAATTTTGAATGTAAATTGATTTTTATTATAATAATAAATAGGTGTTTAATTTGATGCTTTCAAAAAAAATAATAATAAATAGTAAAATCCGAGCAAAATTTTGTTTGTTGTAGGGATCAATCTCAGCACATGGATGAAGTGATGCGACCGTCATCCCTAACGCTCGTGCATGCCCCGAGCTTGCACATTCAAAGTCACTTGAGCCGGAGCGCATGCGACAATAATGCAGGAGAGGATGCGCGAAGGCACGATCAATTCGGACAAGCAATCGATGTCAATCTTTCTCCATGGACTGATCTCTACCCAACCGGTTTGGCGACGAGCTCGACTCACTTTTGTTCTCTCATGAAATGAAATGAGAGATATTTTCAAGAACTCTAGCTAGTTTTACTTGGGAGAATTGGTTTAATCTCCCAATATAAACATCAGAACAAATTATATACATTTTTGAATTTGTGTAAGTTTGCTTATAGATGTCAGAAAAATAAATGTTTATTATTAGTACACCATCGAAGCTTATTATATTTGAAACATTGTTGTTTGTTTGTTTGGAGGATAGGTAAAGATTTTAACTATTCATCTAATTTTTTTCGCTAAAAATATCAAATTAAATACTTATTTTTTATTTTTATATTATACTTAAAAAAAAATCAATTTTACATTCAAAAGATCATATCAATATCTATTCATATTACATCGTACAACTATTTTAATTCAAATTTTTTACTATTCAAATTCCAAATCAAAATCCAAACACCTAAACAAATCCAAATTATTGCAAACACCATAGGTAAAATTGTACGTTCATTATCTATTAAGATATTTCAAACCTTCGTACCAAAACAATAATAATAAATAATAAATAATAATAATAAAATAAATTAATACATTCGTAAGTGTTCTATTAAGAAATGATTGCATAGTTAACAAGAAAATTAAATTAAATTTCAAAAATTCTATTTATTAAATTAAAATCAATAATTGATTAATTTAATTAATATTTCATAAGTATACAACCATATTATATATATTTATCCCTCTATCGGGGCTAATTATATCATTGTTTGAAAAACTTATTAAATAATTAATAAATAAATAAATAAATAAATAATGTGATAAATAGAAGAATAAGTGGCAAATTGATTATTATGTAATGTACTCAAATAATATTGAACATTATTTGTATAAAATATAGATATATATATATAGATACACGTACAAAAAATATTCCGTGAGCAGTATAAAGATTTGTTTTATTGTACTTTAAAATCGATTTAAAATAAAATATTAAATATTTATTATAAACAGATGTCATATTTTGTAAGAAATTTAAAGAGTATTTTTATTAAAAGTTGTATGAAAAAAATTATAAAAAGCAGCAAAAACACAAAAAACAAAACTAAAATTTAGTTGCATGCATAGAATAGTGACAATATCACTGTATCTTTCTTTTGATAAGTTGGGTAAAATTTTGCTTTGAGTTTGGTATTAAAATAATGTTTGATATGATGTTTTGTGAGAGAAAAAAATGTATTTTTTTCGAAAAATGCAGAATTCAAATAGTAAAATTTGATAAATTTGGGGTAAAGAAACATACCCGTGCAATGATTTGAATTGTTTCTTGACCGAGAATTGTGAATGTAATTTAGGATTTGTTTGATTTATGTTTGAAATTGAATTTTTTATTTGAATTTGAATTTACATATGTTGTTTTGTGAGATTATTTAATTTATTCATTCAATAGTATTTTTTATTAAATGAAAAAAAAATAAAGAATAATATATTATATGGATATATTTTAACAAATTAGGATGTGTTTATTTGGATGATTAAAGTGAATGGCATTATCTAATTAATTTAATAATATATTTACTATGTATTAGTATTATAATCGAAGATAAAGTAAGATAAAGCCTGTATGGCTGTATAATATATACTGTATATTATAATAAAGAACTATTAAAATTTTTTCTTATAAATAGTACATTCGTCCACCTTTAATAAAAATTCCATTTATTTTTTACGTCATTATAGTTAACATTAAAAATATTTTTTACGTCGTTATAGTTAACATTAAAAATATTTTTATAATTGTATAATTTGTTTTTTCGTATAAATTTCACTATATTAGTATTATAATTTTTTGCTATTTTCTTTTAATTTGTACTATATTTTTATATAATAATTAATATTTAAAAATCAACACGACCACAAAGAAAATATATGATCTTTAGATGCGGAAGGAAGTAGTGTTGAATAATACTACTACTAAAATATTATTAATATTTGTTGGAGACTCTCGTTTGCGGATATATAAATTAATGATTGTATTTCTCTAACAGTTCGAACTTTTATTTGAGACAGTTATTTTGAATCCGACACCGACAATGTTAAAAAAATAATTTATATTTTATTAATTTAATTTACTGTTAATTTTATCGAACATTTTAAACAAAAACTAATATAATAAATTAAAATAAATATTAATTTATTATATAATTACATAATCTATTAAAATAATATATCATTCAATTCCAATCTTATCCGCACCCACAGTGTATTGAAAAAAGAAAACCATTGCATAAAATCATGATGAATCAAAGCAAAATATCAGGAGTATAAATAATACTAATAATAACAAATACTGCCTCTTTCGACATTCAAGACCACCGTTATATTGTCTTAGTTGGTTAATACTTTTGTGGGATCTTAATTAGCACACCCAACTCGTTAAGGCCGATGTATTGTGAAGTTTAAATTTCACGTTCAGCCTATTATGGATCGGGTGCTAAAGTTTGGTCTATATTTTTATGTCGACATGATTCATTCTCTTTGTAGTTTGTATTTTGTAGTTAGTATTTTCAAATGAACAGTGCAAATACCTTATTTGGCCACCCAAAATGTAGATTATCTGTTTAACCGGGTAATCAAATTCTTGTACTCTTGTGTTTATTTTTTTGATTTCCTAATTTTCGCAACAATTGGTATCAAAGTTCTAGGTTTTATTTGAATGAGAATCAAGATGAGCGATCGTCCTACTGTCAAGGTATTTCAATGGAATGAACTTTGATTTCTAGACATATGCAGATGAAAGATTATCTGTATTGTAAGATCTGGAGGTAGTGCTGCAGGAGAAACTTGAAAATATGGATGAAAATCAATAGGAAGACGATGAGTGTGATTCGACTAACCTTTTCAAAGAACGTCTCGTTTCACACAGTTCAAGCGGAATCAAACTGGAGATTTTGATAATCATGTCGGATGTGTACGAACAATTTTGTGTTGCAAACAAGATCTACCTTATGAGAAAATTGTTTAACTTGAGGGTGGTTGAAGGGACTCATATTGTTATGCATCTACGAATTCAAATTGATCATTATGCAATTGTGGTCGTTGAATCTTGAATTTTTCAGAGATCAAATTTGTAATCCTGCTATCGTTTATGTCGGATAGTTGGTATTCGAAAGTACAGTCTTGAATATTGCTTCTTTCAGGAAGAAAAAGGTGAAGTTTGATATAGTTAGGAATCTAATCTCGAGTGAGGAGATTCAGAGAAATTCGAGTAAGAATACTGAATCTAAATCTGCCTTCAATGCTGAAAATAAGGGTGGATCCGAGGTGAAGAGAAATGGACAAGATCAAGAATTGTCAAAATTAAAGCGGAAAATAAAGAGCAAGAAAAATGCAACATGGGTGGTATGTTAAAACTGCAAGAGAAAATGGGGTGCCAAAAAATGATTAGGGTTCCTCAAATATATTGGAAGAGATATCCGATGTGTTGATTCTGAGCATCAGAAATCTAATGGAGTCATAAATCTTGGACTCAGGAGCTTCGTTCCACTCATGGAGTAATTCGTGAACCATGAAGTCCTATATTGCGGGGAACTTTGGTGTCATCTATCTTGCAAATGACGAGTTACTGAAAATTGTAAAAAAGAGAATTGTCCAAATCAAAAAACCAACTAGAGACAAGTGGACACTTAATGATGTAAGGTATGTCCCAAGTCTGAAATAGAATTTGATTTTCACGGGATAATTGGATGAGACATATTACTCAACATTCTTTCAAACTAGGATGTGAAAGGTAACCAAATGATCCATTGTAGTGGCTCAATGGATGAAAGATGGCACTTTCTACATGACAAACAATATGTAAGACAAAATCGGTTCCTTGTTTGTGAATAATAACATGAATTTATAGCATTCTCGTCTTGGAAACATGAGCGAGAATGGGATGAAGGAGGTTGTTTCAAAGGGGAGATTTTCAAGTATCAAGTCCTTCGATATTGGAGTATGCGATGATTGTATCTTCAAAAAGTAGAAAAATACATCATTCTCAAATAGTGGGAGAGACCTAAAAAAAAGTCGGAGTTAGTCCATACGGACTTGTGAAGACCAAATCTTGTATCATCTCACATCATGTTCATTGACAACCCTACAAGGAAGGTATTGGTATATTTTTTTTAAGCGTAAATCTGATACTTTTGATATTTTAAGAAAGTGAAAAAAAATTGTGGAGAAAAAAATAGAGCTACAAGTTAAGTGTCTGAGGTCGGATAATGGTGGCGAGTAAAAGTTGAACGAGTTCAATAAGTACTGTACAGAGAATGGCATGTGAATGAAAAAGACACTACCTGGAACACCACAGCAGACTGGTGTAGGTAAAAGGATGAATCAGACGTTGAATGAGAGGGCTAGATGCATGCATCTAAAGTGTGATTTTTCAAAGAAATCTTTGAGATTCCAAAAAATAAATCGACGTCGTTGAATAATGAGATTCCAAAGAAAGCGTCAAGTAAACCAGTAAACCTTTTTTTCTTGTTTTTGGTTGCACTGCATATATCAAGGTTGACGATGAGACAAAACTAGATGTGAAATATGTGACAGGCACATTTATTAGTTGTGATGGTGATGAGTTTGGATATCGACTTTGGGACGAAACTAATCACAAGATCATTTGTGCTTGAAATGTCATCTTTGATGAGAAAATCTTGTATAAGAACAAGTCTAGTGACGAGGACAGAAAGAATCCGAAGATGATTGAGTTGGATACTTCCAACACGAGCCTAAACAGCCAAAGTCAAGATGATTGGAGTGTGGTTGATGTTAAGGTCGAGCCGCGTACCCTCGTTACCGAGAATGTTCAAATCCCAACAGAAGTTGATCTGAACACACTGATAGCACTGAGGAGATCCGTGAGACAGCATCGTGCGTCAGAGATGTACTCCTCTACCCTTTAATATTTATTTTTGACTGACAGTGGAAAACCAAAATGTTATATAGTTGTCAAGGCTAGTAAGGAAGTTGAGAAATGAAAACTTACTATGAATAATGAGATGGATTCTCTAATGATCAACCTGACATAGGAGTTGAGTGAACTTCCAAAAGGCACGAAAGCATTGCATAATAAGTAGGTCTATAAGATTAAAGAAGAATTAGATGAGAGTAAGTGAGACAAGGCCAAATTTGTAGTAAAGATATGGCATTGACTACATTTATGTATTCACTTCTGTTGTGAAGCTGGCAACAATCCGATTGGTCTTGG